GACTAAAATAATAAAAACTTAGAGGGTAGGCTGCTACAACAAAAAGCCACCTAGACTGCTCTACAAACTGAGTGTGTGCACGATTCCTGTTTTGCAAGAGTCCAGCACAGGGTGGTAATATTAAATCTCAGGACAGAATAAAAACTATTTTTTATTTTTAAAATAGGACGCAGAATAAAAACTGATTTGGGAGGTCAGAGTTAATTACATGCTGAGTGCCAGCTCCATCAGAGGAGAGCAAAAACATCGACAGGTAAAAACATGGTTATGCACATGAGCAAAGGACACCCAACGTATGCCTTGAAGCAAACAGAGACATAAAACTTAAGCATTAAACAGTCCCTTCATCTTTACGCAGAGCACGTACACCTGCAGTTCATTCTCTGCCTATACGTGCTGGAGGCAAGGACCACTTCTTCCTGTAAGTCTGTATAACATCAGCTCTAGGTTGACTGGTTCCTCTGGATACTCTCATAACACAAACAGAATCACAGAATAGTTTTAGTTGGAAGGGACCTTAAAGATCACCTAGTTCAACTCCCCAACCATGGGCAAGGAGACCACTACACCAGGTTGCTCAAAGCCTCATCCAACGTGGCCTTGAACACTTCCAGGGATGGGGCAGCCACAACTCCTCTGGGCAACCTGTTCCAGTGCCTCACCACCCTCAATGTAAAAAATTTCTTCCTTAGATCTAAAGGAAATCTCCCCTCTTTCAGTTTAAAGCCATTGCCCCGTGTCCTGTCACTACACATCCTTGTCCAAAGCCCCTCTCCAGCTTTCTTGTAACCCCTTTAGGTATTGGAAGGCTGCTGGAAGGTCTCCCCGGAGCCTTCTCTTCTCCAGGCTGAACAACCCCAACTCTCTCAACCTGTCTTCACAGAAGAGGTGCTCCAGCCCTCACATCATCTTTGCGGTCTCCTCTGGACCCGCTCTCCAGCCTGTCCAGGTCCCTCTGGATGGCATCCCTTCCCTCCAGCGTGTCCACAACACCACACGGCTTGGTGTCATCAGCAAACTTGCAGAGGGTGCACTCGATCCCACTGTCCATGTCGCCAACAAAGATGTGAAACAGTGATGGTCCCAGTACTGACTCAGCATGGTTTGCACCTTTGCCAGTATAATTAATCCTCGTTAGCAACCCCATGCTGTTATCAGCTGATCATTTGCTCTAAGCAATATAAGACAAGTTGATGGTGAGGGGTGAGCAGGGTTTGCAGGTTAGTTCAGAAAAAGCATTGAGGACAAAGCAGAAGGCAGAGAGCCTTTGCGTGTGCCCAGGGCAGCGACATGTCACGATTTTGAGGTGCTGAAGTGGGTTCAGAGGAGAGCAACAAAACTAGTGAAGGGTTTAGAGAACTTGTCCTACGAGAAGCGGCTGAGGGAGCTGGGACTGTTTAGTCTGGAGAAGAGGAGGCTCAAGGGGGACCTTATCACTCTCTACAATTACCTGAAAGGAAGTTGTAGGGAGATGGGGGTCGGTCTCTTCTCTTATGTTATGAATGACAGGACAAGAGGGAATGGCCTCGAGTTATGCCAAGGGAAATTTAGGTTGGATATCAGGAAAAATTTCTTTACAGAGAGGGTTGTGAAGTACTGGAACAGGCTGCCCAGGGAGGTGGTGGAGTCCCCATCCCTGGAGGTGTTTAAAAACTGTGTAGATTTGGTGTTGAGCAACAAGGTTTAGGGACCCTGACAGTGCAGGGTGAATGGTTGGACTCAATGATCTTGAAGGTCTCTTCCAACCAGATGATTCTATGATTTCTGGCAAAGAACTGAGGGAATAGACAGAAAAAGAATAGGAAGAGGGCACCCGTACAATGTACAAGAAGAGGTGGAATGAGCAAGGTTTGTTTAGCCTGGAGGAGAGATGGCTGAAGATGGGGAGAAATCTAATTGCTGCCTTCAACTACCTACGGATAAAGAGGAGATAGCACCAGACACGTTCATAGAAAAAGGACATGAAGCAACAGACACAAGCTGCAGCAAAGGAAGCTCTGATTAGATAACAGTTGGGGTTTTTTTCCTTTTTTTTTTTTTTTTTTTAAACCATAAGGGTGATTAAGCACTGGATCACTGGCCCAGAGGGTCATCGAGATCTCCATCCTTAAGAGATATCCACAACTTGACTGGGCAAGGGTCTGATCCTACTCTGAAGTTGGCCATGCTTTGAGTGAGGGATCAGACCAGGGTCCCTTCCAACCCAACTCACCCCACGTTCTGCACCTAGACTCGAATTTGGGTGCAAAAGTGCCAGATTCACCTGCAAGTAACGAAAGGAAGGGGAGCTGCTCCTGTTTTCTGAGGGCATGAGAGCCAATGTGGAGGCACGGCAGAGGAGCCAGCTCAGCAAGTGACCATGGGGCTGCCACTGCCATCTGCCAGCGCGGCCACCACGACCATTCATCTGGTGCCCGACAGTGATCAGGAGGCGCTTCTGAACGGTCTCACCCCAGCGCCGAGCGCAGAGCCATGGCCCACGGTCTTGCACGAGAGCGATCGGATGTGAAAAGGAAACCACCTCCCTGCCGACCAGCACAAAATGAAAATAAAGGTGCAAATGAAGCACCAGTAAACATTTAGTGTGGAGTAAAGTCAAAAATAAAACCAACAAAGTTCACAGATGATGAGTGTAGTTTATCTGCTTCAGATTTCTTCATTCTGTGCAGACAAACACGCTGGATTTGTGTTTCCTCCACATTCTTTTATTGCATTTTTGAAGCAGCACATTTACACAGTCTCATGTTGCCTATGATAACAAATATAAACCAGCAAAGATATTTTTATCCCTGCTTAATAGAAAAAAAAGCTTAATGTACAGGACCGGACTGCCCTGGGGCACTCAGACTACAAGGAGTTTAGTAAACAGCTTATGCAGACACTTGCACTGTGTAAATGTTTGCATTATGCAAATATTTATCACACTGAAAAATTGATAAAACCAACTTAAACTTTCTCCATAGTCCAGTGCTGAATATTTCCAAGATCATCTTATATTCAGGGTAAGTACTGTATTGTGAACAAACATAATCGAGCATCAGAAGTTCAAGAACACAAGATGAGAGCAGTGAAGGAAGCGAGGGCTCAGGCAGCTGCTGTAAAAAGCCGGGGAGGTAACAAAAACTGAGCTTCAGAGAGGGAGGAATTTACAGTGTTTATCAACAAACCCTGAAAGTTCAGTGTCCGACTGTACAAAGCTCAATCTTGCAAATCCCCCAACGCAGTGCAAAAATAGTGAGTAGTGAAATATGGTTATGGTTAATATTAAAATTTAACATAAGCCAAGAAAATAGATAAAATATGAACACTGCTCTCAAAAAATTCTAGTGCGTTTATTTTCATATCAGAGAAAGGTATTTTTCAACAGATGCTTTTTTGCTTTTCATCAAAATGAGAAGCATCTGCTATTTCCTGAACTTGGTTTACTGAATAACACAGTTCATTACTAATGAAGATGAAATTCAAATGTCATCTGAAGAAGCAATTAAAAAAATAATTGAATTTTTTTCCTACCTCAAAAATGTTATTGTATTAAGCTCACGCTTGCTCGTCCTCAGGCACAGACTTCCTAGTGATTTACAGATGATTTTAAAGTCTGAACCATAACTGTTAATGCTGTGAACTACTTATAACCTCAATTTAAAAAGCCTATTAATTTTGGGGAAACACACAAGAAACTGCAGGCACAAATCATGATCGTTTCACCTTTTCAATTGCATATTAAAAATTAGCTCGATTAGAGCAAAATGACTATGAGTCAAGCTGACATTTCTTCCTCTTCCTGCATATCAATTCAGCACATGATACCAGGAGATTGATTCCAGGGTTGGGGTTTTTTTTGAGGGGGAGGGTGTTTAGAAGAAAGGAGGCGGTTTCTTCTTCAGATGGGGTAAGAGTAAGGTAACAATTCATTTGTGTGACCTGTTCTGACCTCAGATTAGTCTGAAGGTTTACAGGAAGTGTTCTCTCACTACAAAACAACTCTGCGTTTTCAATTGAAGACAAAAAAAAAAACCAAACATACGTTCTGTTTTAACTTTTTTATCAACTTTTGCTTCCTATGCTGATCTTCTCTCACAGAGATTACAAGGATTTTTTAGAATAAACATGAAGTATTTTTAGAACTTCATTTCGCAAATGAAAGGAAGCACAGCAGAAGGTTAATTCTGGAAATAGTTAATCAGCCACTTGGAACAAGCAGAGTCCAAAGGGAACCATTAGTTTTTCCATACACAACTTGGGATTATTTTTCTAATTTCAGCTAAAAGAATAGAAAACATAAGGTGGTGCTTGTCACTGCAAGACTGAAGTACATAAATGCACAAGTTATATTTAGGTCTTTTCGTGAAATGTCAACTGTTAACCAGCATCCACAAATTAGTCTCTCACCACAGACAGATGAGCCAAATACCAGTCATCCATCAGAGGAACAGATATTTTTACACATGTTTTTACAAGGTTGGAACCCATCGTTGTTGTTTCTGAACACGTTCCAAAGAATTTAAAAACATAAAGTTTAAGGTACGTAAGGACATACATGATTCTGTGGGACCTACATGTCTGCAATGTCCATTTTACGTTGCTTCTGCCACCTGCCAGCACTGACATACCACGAGTTAAAATGAAGTCTCGTTCAAAAATGATAAATGGGGCAGTTTTCTACTTTAGAAGGAGCCTGCATACCGAATCATCTCATGCTCGACCAGATGACAATAATTTTTTTGTCTCTCAAATAATCAGGATTTGGAAATGAAAACATAATACTTACATGCTGCAGTGCAGTAACGTGATCTGTTCATTGTAAAAGCAAAAACAGCTCCTTAATTGTTTATGCTGACGATGACCGCACAAAAGGACTCTTGCTATATGTGCTGTATTGGCAGTGTTATATATTTAGATTATGGGAACATATTTACACTGCTAGGAGCCACACTTGAGTCAGGCTTCGAGTTCAAGAAATATCACTGCGGACAGTTAGGTTCTTACCAAGGGGAACTTACCTGAAAGCTGCCAGTAAGGGAGCGTAAATCGAATCTCCATCATAGACATACAAGTGGTCCCAACTGCACTCTGTGGCAAAGTGATTGAATCGAAGCCTGAGGATTGTGTTTGGCCTGCAAACAAATGATAATAAAAGATTTGGAACTAGCCACTCGACACGCACGGCAAAGCCCCTCCAACAAACTCCTCTGGCGTGAAGCTCTCCTCTAAACACGACTATAACTGAGTGACTTAGTATAACTGTAGATGCATCAAACATGCCTTGGCTTTCTTTTTTGGTGTGCACACTCTCCTCGTATTAAGCAACAGATTCTTTATGGTCAGAGAAATTGTGTCCTTAAACTTTTCCCCACCACCAATGGCAGAAATTGAAGAGTAGGGACGGCCAGCCCCCTGCTCTTTACCAGTACTGACTTCGCTAAAGACAGGGCTTTGCAGGGTAAACATGGAAAATCTACATGGAAAATACATTCCACACATGTAGGTGTGGCATTTAGAGACATGGTTTAGTGGTGGACTTGGCAGTGTCAGGTTTACAGCTGGACTCAATGATCTTAAAGGTCTTTTCCAACCTAAATAACTCTATGAAGAATCACAGCCACCATCAGGGAACTAACCAGAGTTATTTTTCTTGCTCAGGCGATTTTCTGCAGATTGATATGACTATGATGGCCTGAGATAATTCACTTGCCCAGAAGCTGGTAGAAATCCTTCTTCTATTACTTTATTACTTGTGCAGTACAGATGGCCCTCCTGAGGGAAGCTCCTCCAAACTGGAAATCAAAAGTAAGCCTCAGTGGATGCTAACTAAAAGAATTTATCCATCTTGCTCTCCACCCTCTGGTAGCTGGAATAAACAGGTCAAGACAATGCAGAGGAGACCCATATTCTACAGGACAGGAGGCCCTGGAGCTCTAACTTTTGTCAAAAGGAAGGTCTTTGGTTATTACCTGGACTGCCAAGATGCAAGACTGCCCCTCATTCTTCACAAATGCTAATGAGGTTGCTTGGTTTTCTTCTGGAGATGTGTTACAAAAAAATATGGGAAACAGTTGAGAATGAACAAGTTGGAAGTCCTGGGAAGAGACTTGGCTACCTTCCACCTGACTGCAGTGGGCCCAGCATGCCCCGATGTTAACACCACCCTTCAAGAAGAATCTACTCTTGCTGACTTACTAAGTCAAGAGAAGACCATCAAGAGGCCTGATCTTCTGAGATGTATCAGCAGGAAAAAAGTTTTATTTCCTTGATGCAGGGATGGAAACAGTAGTCCAGACACCAAAGCTGATCAGCATTTCTTTCACCCCATACACAAAAGACACCCACTAAGCCATAACCAAGCAACATACATTTAGACAGCATTAAGCAACCTGGTGTAGTGGAGGGTGTCGCTGCCTGTGGCAGGGGAGTTGGAACTAGATGATCTTGAAGGTCTCTTCCAACCCGAATCGTTCTAGGATTCTATGATTAATTTCATCACTAATATGCAAAGATACATCTAAAGAGAACCACACAGAAGCCATGGCAGATATCTAATTTAGGACTCAGCTCAAGCGGGGTGAAAACACCACTAACATTGTGCTTGGACCCAGAGATAAAAGTAAAGTGAATCTACAGCAGCACTGCTATTTCCTACCCACAGCTGTAGCTGTTGAAAGGACAGATGTAAGTGATTAGAATCTCTTCAGTAGCATTGCCCTCGGGTTCAGATGAAACCCTGGTTCGTCATAATCAAATAAATTCATAAAATGTCAGCTTGCCATAGAGCCCTTCTTTCCCACAGAAGCGGAATTTTTTAGGGAGTTATTCTGCAAAAGAATATTTTCTGATAGGCACAATGACCTACTCCAGGCCTTTGGAAAAAGAGCAGCAGGTGTAACTCAAGGATAATGTCTTGCTTAAAGAAAAGGTACAAAGAGCACTCAGTTTCAAAAGCAAGCAGCCTAAGAAATTGTAGGGGGGTTTGCTTCTTCTATTTTAACGGTCTGACGGCTGTAGAGCAGAAAGAAATACCCATTCAATAAAAGCTTTAGACCAAGAACAAAAAGAAAGAGATTAGCTTTGATACGGCTAACGACTCATTAACAGACAGCACTCAATCCCAGAATCACAAGGCACATGGCTACAGGTTCTGCCTCAGACGGGATCCTCGGGCTGGCTGGATCTCATCTGCCTTCTCTCATGCTCCCAGGGAAAAAATGGAAAAGACACCCTCGGGATGAGGACACAGCACAGACACCAGCCAAGAAGAGTGAGGAACATGGCAAAAAGGAAATGAGCAGAGTAAGGAACGCGAGGCTTATTTTACATTTGAATTTATCCAGCATCCTCAATCGCACGTTTGGATTGTGTCTTTACTTGCTAACCTCAAAAGCCCTCCACATACCGGTACGCTAGCAACGAGGTGAGGGCACTCGGCAGAATTTAAAGCTTTGCAGACGCTGTTTCCCAAGTCCAGATCTCTCTGGGAATTTCACATTTGGCAGAGAGCTTGGGCTATTTTCACAAGGGTGCGTATTTCAGCTGTTTTAATCAGAACGATTATCTCCTTTCTGTTTACCACCACCCTCTGACAGCAGGGTACAAACAATCCGAAGCAGGAAAAGGACATCAGCTTGAACACCTGGCTACGAAAGCAGGAACATTTTTGTACACCTCTTTAGAGCAAGTCTCCAGACCCCATGAAGTGATAGTTCTCTAGGAAGCCTCTCAGTATTGGCAAATAAAGGCTGAAGGAGCAGTTATGGTGACATTATCCGGGACCATAAGCACCACTTTGCTGCTGATAAAAACATGAGTCACACTATCCTTTAGAAAATGAAGTTATAAGGGTTAAGCTGGCTGTACTGGAACTGCTGAGGCTGATTTGTCTGTAATAACACTCTTGCAAAACACTTTTAAATTATTTGTCATTTCAAACTGTCTGCAGTTGTATTTTTATTACCTACAAAAATGAAGAGGTGTTGCCACTTACAGCATCTAACTTTGATCTTAACCACATTAAAAACTTGGGCTTCTTATAGTTCATATTGAGTAGCAGGTTCCAAATTTCAGTATTCTGGCTGACTCTCTGCAACACCTCAGCCCTCACCTTTGAATATCTTGGGAGCTTAGGTATTTACATTACTCGCCCAAAATAAACGTGCATCGTAGATTAAGTGAATACCGATTCCCTCCCAACCATCAGACCTCCCAAACATAAGCAGAAGACTAAAAAAAAAAGTGTACTCTGGGCTTTCAGTAATTTGTGATCCTCCAAGGTGCCAAGAGATCTCATCTTACAAGTGTTCAATGCAAGTTCATGCTCTCACATGACTTATTCCTGTTCACAAACCTCTCTGCTTACAGATTCAGAGAACAGTATGGAATGTGACTTAATGCACAGGTGTTAACATACAGCACCATATCTGGCCATGCAAGGTTTTAGAGACCATACACATCGATTTTACAGTCCTGGTGTCAACCTGGTACTACGAAAAATATTATTTCAACAAATCAGATGCTCTGAACTGCTGTACCATCAATCAGATGATGGCCAGAGGATATGCATTAAATGGGCTACTCCAAAAATCTCTGCAAGAAATCACTATAAGCAATATAAAGATCAAATACAGAAAAGGTAGAGAAACGAGGGGAAGAAATCTAAGGGACTTCTTGCAGTTTAGAAGACTTTTGCCAAAAGAGGTCAACAGTCCCTCTGAAGTCCTCACGGCCTAATGAGTAAATAAATATCCAAAGAGCATCATTCGAGAAGCTGATTCTTTATGAATAAAGGCTTTAACGGAGTTCACTCTATTTTTTTCATACTGCCAATAAATCCCATGCACAGTGAATTCCAACATCTGAATGGCATGCTGCAGTATGAATTAAATAATTTTTAGTTCTTTATTTATTTACACAAATGCATTTATTTTCATTTTCTACGGGTGGTTTCAACACAAAGGGTATTTTACACAGCAGATCTCTAATTCAGAAGTCAGTTTGGAGGGCTCGGTTGCTCAAAAAAACCTAAAACTTATTCACTAAGACTAAGTGCTGCCATATCTAGTTTTAAGAATAGCAAGAATGAATCACGAAGTCTAAATGATGAAAGTCATAACTTCACCTAAAAGTCATAAAAAAGAACACTAAAACCCAAGATGCTTAATATACTCACCTTCCTTCAATGAGCCAGGTGCATTTTGTTTTGTATTTGTAATTTCCTGGCCCATCTGTGACATACCCTGAAGGACCAGTGAGTCTGTAAATAAAAAAACAAAGACAAGCATTAGTCTCCAATGGTATTAAGCATTCATAAAGGATTTCCTAAATTTAGAAGATCCGTCATTAGATTTTCATTTACAAGAGTGACAGCTTCTCTTTCAGACTGATGGTATTGTTTCAAACCCGTAGACATGTATGTACCACAACCAGCAAATGAAATTCCCTAATAGAAAAGCTTAAGTTATTCCTAAACTATTGATTTATACAAACTACACTATTCTTCCAAGAAGTTCAGATGAGGTCCGTGGTGCCACCTCTCACCCATTCTGTATATGACTCTTCACAAAGTCCTTGATGACCTCCTGAATGGAGGACTCATCCCCATAACCCTCAAGTGAAAAAATAAGACCTGAATTCTGCATGCATCAAGGGCTGCGTAACTCAGGACAACGTCAGAGCACGGCAGTTTCACTTATTCACCACCTCCAGTAGCACGTTCCCATCCCCATGTCATCTCGTGTTGTGCGATCAAAGTCAAAGAGCTTAGTGGTCCCCACTGTCAGGACAGTGCCAGGACTACCCTACAAACACCCCTTGCCTATAAATAGGAGGAGAAAACTTGACAGTAGCAAAAGACAGTGGAAAAGGACGCGAAAGCAGAAAGTACAGTTGGAATCATTCATCCCAGAACACTCAATATACGCCGGCGCTGAAACCATTAAACATTCAAGATGCCACTGAGAGAGAGAGGGGAATAAAGCCAGTAAGGGACTCACTTCTGTCAACACCTGCAAAACATTGTACAAGGCAAATCCCAGACAACCGCGTTTGTCTCGATATCGCTCGCAGGGCTGTCCAAACAAGCAGCAGCAAACCCAGTCTGGGGCTCAGGAGGGTGTTTGGATGAAAACTTCATAGCAGATTTCAGAGCTTTGCTTAACCTTTGTTGTGGTCCGAAGGAAACTGATATTCATGCTCATTACTTGGAATGTGCATTACTTGTAATAAGTCTGAATACAGGTACTGGAAAGAGTCAGCAAAGTGACGCAAAACCTGCTTCCGCATTTTCCATTACTCCTCCTGGAAATATGACAACGGAACACACATGCACTCTAAGACAAATGAAGGTAGTACTCTACCAGCTGCGGCTGTACCTTCTCCTTTTCACAGATTTTAACAGAGCACGTTTTCTCCAAAGACATGGACAACAGAAATGACATCACCACACTTCATCAAGGCTGAGGGAGATGGATCTACTAGGAGTTTGGGGTAGCAAATGTGATATATCACTTGGGCTCCCAAAAACAAGGCACCAAGATGGAGAGGGACTTTCTGCAGGAAGTGTAGTGACAGGACAAGGGGCAATGGCTTTAAACTGAAAGAGGGGAGATTTAGATTGACTAAGGAAGAAATTTTTTACACTGAGGGTGGTGAGGCACTGGAACAGGTTGCCCAGAGAAGTTGTGGCTGCCCCATCCCTGGCAGTGGTCAAGGCCAGGTTGGAAGAGGCTTTGAGCAACCTGGTCTAGTGGAAGGTGTCCCTGCCCATGGCAGGGGAGTTGGAACTGGATGGTCTTGAAGGTTCCTTCCAACCCAAACCGTTCTACGATTCAGCATTTTTTGCCTGAGCATAGAGACTGGTAGGAGCATGTATGGGCTGAAGGCAAAACCAAAGGCCAGACCATTGGGATACACGCTCCCATCTCATACGCATCAGTCAAAATATTCTAGATTGGTTTTAACAAAAAGCTGAAGCATAGCAGAAACGGTTGAAAATAAATTACCAGGGAAGGATGATATCAAACAGAAGCAGTATCTGAAGATGTGCAAACACCACGTTCTGGAAGAACACATACTGGCACCTGAAATAGGATTCCTACCTAGAGAGGTTATAAAATCCATCCTCGGAACATGGCTGGAACAAATCACAGCCTTCTGGCAAAATTAAATCGTCCTACTTAAAACATATTTTCAGTAAAACAAAAACACTCTGCAAAATCCAATTTGGCAGAAAAGAGAAGGAAACAAGATCAGAAGTTCCCAAAACCGGTATCTTGGAACCTTTTGCTGTGTCTTTTCCTAGTGATCTGTTAATGTTATCTAATCTTTTTTAAATATTTTGACTGAGTCAAAATGGTTTTGCAGAATCTTTTCCATAGAGCTCTTTTTAAGGTTCATCTCTGATCCAAATCAAAAAGGCAAAACCCACAGATTTTGAAAACCACCACCTTCTTCCTCCATATTAATTCTATAATACTTTTCAACCTCAGAGATTTAGCTTAAGATTTTTAAAAGCTAGTTACTGAAGTTCTGCAGGAGATCTACGTTGAAGGAAGTGAAGAAGCAACTCCAATTTTCAGGAGCACAGGAAGCATCTGTACCTTCTACAGAGACACAGATAGATGTAGATAGAGATTTAGATAAACAAACATGCGCACACACACACATTTGTATTGTAAGGCTTCAACGTCTTCGAAAATTCCAATTACTCATCTCTTGACCAGGAATTTGCAAAAACAGATGGAAATTCTAAGTTGTAGGCAATAACATCTAGACTTTTTGTCCAAAAATTCACCCTTTTGAAAATATTATCTGTGGAAAAGCTAGGAACCAAACTGTATCAACGCTTCAACGCTGACAGCACTTCACATGCAACCAAGAGTAAACAGACTCTAGAAACCTGAGCAAGTCTCACAAGCTAAAAACAACCTTATGCAATCTGCCAAGCTCTCAAAAAGCCGCTGCTCAGAAAACTCTTTGAACAATTTTCTCTGGAAACAATTACTAAATCATTCACCACAGAAACGCTATCAAGAGTGATAGGAAAAAAAGATTAAAATAAAATAATCTCTTTAGTACTGTAGTCTCAGCCATGTCACATCTCGGGGTAGCCGGGGGGGGGGAGAGCATTTCAACACCAACATAATTCAATCATATTTCAGCAACACAGAAACAAAACACAGGATTTTGTTTTTAAAAAGTAACCGAAGTCAAATTCTCTTGATATGCTATTAGTTAAATACTTATCTGTAAGTTACTCTTGACTCCTTGCTAAGCTTTAGAAGTGGCTGCCATTACAAACAAATACAAGATATTAAAAAAATCAGAGCTGACGTCTGTGAAAGCAAAAGAAATTGGAACTATGTTCTTACGCCACGTACTGCCTGGCACGGGCAGGGCATGAGCAGATCTGCGTTACTCTCGCAGAGATGTGCTCCAAGAGAGACAGAAATAAATACTAAGCACTAAAAGCAAACTGAAGCTGGAATTTTATCTTTATATTCCATAGAGAAAGCTCAACTGATCTCCCAGCTCTAGTCTAAAAAAGCAAACAAAACCCCTCATCCTCTCCAACTCGGTCCTGTTTGCGCTATATGTGATGGTGTTTCATTGGGTACTGGTGGGCACTGGTAACTACGACATGTCCTATACAATGTTTCAGCTTCTTCTGTGAGCAAAGGCTGAGGAAAGGAATACATGAATAACTTGAGGAGGAAAAGTACTCCAGGAACAAAGTAACTCTGCTATGAAGACAGGCTGAGAGAGTTGGGGCTGTTCAGCCTGGAGAAGGGAAGGCTCTAGGTAGACCTTCCAGCAGCTTTGCAGTACCTAAAGGGGACCTACAAGAAGGCAGGAGAGAGGCTTTTGACAAGGGTGTGTAGTGATAGGACAAGGAGGAATGACTTTAAACTGAAGGATAGTAGATTTTGATTAGATCTAAGGAAGAAATTTTTTACAATGAGGGTGGTGAGGTACTGGAACAGGTTGCCCAGAGGAGTTGTGGATGCCCCATCCCTGGAAGTGTTCAAGGCCAGCTTGGATGAGGTTCTGAATGACCTGGTCTACTGGAAGATATCCCTGCCCATGGCAGAGGGTTTGAAACTAGGTGATTACTAAAGTCTCTTCCAACTCAAACCATTTTATGATTCTACTTCAATTAGGGGCATTTTCATGGCATACACTGGGCTAGGCACTAGAACTACTCTCACGATGTACACTAGAAGACTCCTACCTCTGGGTAGCAATGCCATCAGGCTCTGAGGTCACTTGCTTTACTAAATGCTTTGTGCATATTTTTAATTTTATCACTCGGATGCAAAAATCAGACTCCATAAAGTATGGAAAGGTATTGATTCCCATTTTTCTTTGCTAACTTGGTAGTACATGATGCTACTCTACAAGGAGGACTTCTGTACAACTTGGGTGTTACATGTACTACTCTGCAAGAAGCTACACCCTAAGAAAACAAAAGAGCAAGGTCCTTTAAGTATATAAACACGCAGGTGGAAAAAACATACACAAGGCATAGGTAGCACCTACAAAGCCACAATATTGACTTTAAAACATCCAGGGTGGACTGCAATAATTGCAAGGATCTCTTTACAAAACTCAGATTTGAAAAATATATACGTATGCTCATGTGCATACATGTACTACTTAAAGCTGTTTCAAACTTTACCAGGTAGCAAGTGTTATGTACAGCTGGTTTAAATTTTTCACTGATTTTTCAAGTGGACTGCAATATTTAAGAACCAAAGGGAAAAAAGGGAGTTAGGGAGCTGAATCTACAGCACATATATTCAAAGGGCTCCAATCTTGTGTGCTGCCTGTTTCAGCTTTTTGTAAGACAAACACAAAAGAGAAGCAATGAAAACGATAAAGATTTCACAAAAGAGAGCCTGCTTCAAAAAGAAATATTTTATGTACAAGAATGCTGTGTATTACTTACTCCCTGCTAGTTCTGGGAGCCCTTGAAAAGCACAACGCCAACACAAGAAAATCAGACAGCAAGCGATGGCATCTCCTGGGTAAAAAGCCAAATCTGAGTATTGAAGCATACTAGATAAATCCATGTGGTTTTTAATAATAACACAAGCAATACTAGCAGCGTGTATTTTTCAAATACAAATCGGTGTACACTGACAAAGCTCCTAGAGAGACATGAACTGCACAACTAGGTGAAGACCCAAAGCTGATATGTCATTACCATCTAATAAATCTGAAGCGATCCTCTTGCTAATACCTGAGCACAAAAAGCCACAAACTTGAGAGCAGCATATAACTTAGGACTAAATCATTTTGTGGCACTTACTTCCAAAGCATTGTGACATTAAAGGCACACTATATGCTGACAAGGAGGTCTTAAAAATACTAATTTTCATCAGGAGTACGAAAGAGACAATGCATGTTGCCTTTTCTTCATTATTCACCAGAAAAGGTAAGAATGCTGGTCTGGTTTATAAAATATCTTAAGCCTTAACCTCTACGGGGTCAGCAATGGATCTCAAAATTGGTTTGTACTGCTTTCAGTAAGAGTTACAGAAGATCTATCAGCATATTGCCTGCGGAGTTTTAGCACAGCCTTTACAGTAAAAAAAGAAAAAAAAAA